AAAAAAGGTATACAACTATTATGCAACTATTTTACACAGCATTGACTATATAAAATATGACTATTATAAAACTAGTTTTACTGTGTATTACGTGGTCACATCTAAGAAACAGAACAATAAAAACATTACATACAAGAGTATTTTATTTTTTACCGAAGAATATTAGGAGCAAATTATATTTTAAGCGTGTCGTAAACTGAATCTAGAGGCTGTGGATTGTTAAAAAGGAGACTTTACTCGACAATGAAAATGGCGGGTAGAGCCAGAAGGTACAACAAATATGTAATCTAAAAAATCATTAATAGGGTTTGAAAAGTAGGGACAATTTTTGTTGCGCCGAAAATTTTACTGGTAGATTATAAGTATGTATTTGGCAAAAAATTAAAACGCTTTAATTTCGATTAAGGTTTACATATAAATTTAAACAATAAAATAAAATAAAATTTTCAAAAATTCTTGTTTTAATTTAATTAAACACTTTATTACTGTATGTGGGAATCTTATCACAAAATAGTTCTCAAAAATAACATTTTACAATGTATTTTGATGTTTTTAATTTTGCTTCATATAATGGCGGCCATAGGCCATACAAAAATTCTGCCTTAAACATGGAGAATTATAATGCAACCATTTTATTATAAATTAATCCCTTAAATAAGTCTTTGTTGTAAAATAAAACGGTATAGGATAAATATTTATCATTACGCAGAATTTCCAGGCACTATAGAACTATTTTGGACATATTGAGATTTGTGACAAACAGATGTTGCCAAATCTCATTTGATTAGTATTTAAACTAACAAACATGATCAGATTTTCATGGATTCATGCACGCGATGCATTTCATGCGTGCCCGACGAGTGAGCGGCAACCTTAGGACTTGGAAAAACAACAAAACAATACAAACATTACTACAGTAAAACTTTTACACCAACGTGGCAACAATGCTTTGAAGAAGCCAGATAACCCGAGAGATTTTGGCTTTTGAGAACCTAGGGAATTCTCGGGATTATTTACCGTAATTTCGAGGAGTTTTTTCTTACATGCTCTTTTTAACTACACTGCGTTTGTTAAGTTTTTTCCAACTTTGTCCAGAATTCATAATAGCTGTGATTGATTATACTCATGCGTAGATATTACTTTTGCAACAACAACAATAACAAAATAAATAACTAGGTATACCATTTAAATTAAAATGAGGTTATATTATACATTACCAGTTTTATAATGCAGATATTACAGCGAATTTATTTTGTTAATCACAATCTTATCATATAAGGCTATATAACTGTGTTGTATACAGCACCGTAGTTTAACGCAGTAAAACGTTCTATCATACAACGTAATACAACTTTAATAAGACAAGTTTAAGTAACTATTATATATGATCTTGTGACTACTAGTTATATGAATATTATAGAACTCTTACATGGTGGGTATAAGAGTCTAATAAAATAATATGTTTGTTATCATATAGCATTGTCTTATTAAGTGTTATATCATACTAAAAGAAATTATCGTTTAATGCGTTATAGGATACGTTGTAAAAACCACTAGAAAATAGTATAATATGACAACTTTTATTAAAAAACAGAATGGTCGAAACCAAACGCTTAATAAAATCAAGCAGTCCTTAAGACAAAGCTATTCGACTGTTATAAAATAATTCAATCCTTTTAGAATTTCTTTTTGCTACTTGGGATTTCATTAATTAAATAGAATGACTTTTTAGAACCATTTAAACTTATCATGCAGCCATTGTTTCTTAAAGTCAGGAACATTTAAAGAAAACATGAACAAGACAACAAGTAATCGTGAATGTTTTGTAAGCTATAAAAATAAAAATATTGATTAGATTTGTTTATTTAGTATTGATCTATTTTATTATTGGACCTGCAAATTTTCACTTAAGCTGTCTAACGAGTTCAACAGTTTATTATTAAAGTACTTTTCAATATTAAACTCCATTGAAAAGAAGAAGCAAACGTAAAAGCAGAGAACAGGTACATTAAAAATGCATAAAAGATACATTTTATAATAGAAATATTGAAGTTTAGAAAACGTCAACATTTGACGTTTCCAGCTGTTTCTAATATTTTATCAAAGCGTTCCGTATCAAACCGATGTTTTTCAGGAACAGCTCTTTACCGTAGTTTACCGGTCTGGTTCGCCTGGTTTTGCAACGGAATACAGTTTGAACAATATTTATAGCTGCTAAGTCGTAAATTATTAATTGCTTATTGAGAAATTTATAGAAGAAGTAGTTTTCACTAGAGAGCAAGAGAACGCACACAATCACAATTTTTTCTATTTTTACTGACAGTTCGACAAGCAAAACGATCCTTTAAGGAAGCCGTTTTTAAATCGCTTAGCGCAATGGGTAAAGACGCTAAGCGCGTCAGATGGGAATAGCCAAATCGGTAGTTAAGTGCGCGCTCAGCGAAAATTAACGGTCATATAACCTGCACGCTGAGCGTCTAAAAACGCTCAGCGTTATCTAAGTTACAGAATTCAAGCCCAGGTGAGATATCTCGTTAGTAAGAGTCGATTTAGACACTCACCAAGTCGATAGGCCATTGACAATGATATGGTCGAAAACCGTGGTTCGAATTCCGCTTAAACAAAGTAGGTCCATTAACGTAAGACTAAAAATACTTTTTTTTTATTTTCTCGTTAGAAGCCGCACTGATTTTACAAGGAAAATACTAATAATTCCACTGCAAAAAATCAGCGTAAACCTTAAAAACGCCTCGCTTAAGCTGCTCAATTCCGTCGTTTCTCGGCTGTCGTCGTGAGCGAAAGCATTCCGGAATTTCGCGCGCCAGGAGAAGATTCTGGCTCCGCTTCATTAGAAAGTTCTTAATGAAAATTACGTTTTCCCGTGAGAACGGCTGCGGGATAGACAGAGCGAGCACCACCGACTGGTCCTTTTTAAATTAAACACGGCCAAGTTTATTTGTTCATAATTATTTCCCTTCTGCAAGTCTCTTCCTCTCTCCGCACTTGTGTAATTTACCGAAATGTATTTTGCATTTTGTCATGCTCTTTTATTAGCGAAGCTTTTCTAATCTTTGGAGAAAACGAGGAAACTCAAAACAGGTTTTCTGTTGGTGTTGATATAAAATATCGACTTGCAGACAACATCAACAGATAAATTTTAAAGCATGTTATAGGAATAACGTTATACGTTATAGGACGAAACAAGTGAGTAAACATAATCAAAAAGATAAATAGACATATACTATGAGAGGATAAAATATAATTTGTAATATTAATGGCATACTTTTTTTAATCAACTAGTGATTAAATGTTTTCTGAACATCTTCTAAAATTATAATTATGTACCTTTAAGAAATTTCGTTATAGCCGAAATATTCCCAATTATGCCCCACTAGCAAAACCGGTGATTAAAACTATGCTAGCTACCGTAGTCGAACTCACCTAAAAAGTTTTTTTTTAACTGGAATAATAAATTATAATACAAGTTAGACCTTCTGAAGATATCAAAATATTTACTTTTTTATTTTTAGAACTTTCACAAAGTATACTTCCTAACACTTAGAATAATTATATAATAACTTTTTCGTATTCTCGCTGTACTAGTTGTTTACGATATTCTCCAGAAGTGTCTAGCACTAGCAGTCAACTTTTAAGCTTGACCAATCAGGTTGGTTAGCGTGGTTATTTGAAGTGTGTTAATTCATTTGTATTTGTCAAAAACTCTAACGTGATTGGTCGGGCTTAATAGTTGCCTGCTAGGGCTAGACACAAGTATATTCTCCGATGGTCGGCGGTAACTAGAGGATGACTAGAGGAAGCAGCAGCAGCAGCAGACAAGATCAGCGATATCGGAAATTTTGCAAAGAGCTGGAAATGCTTTAACGCAAAGAAAGAATGAGAGGAAGGTTTGGTGTACAATAATACAAGGATATCGCAATGGGTTCAAGGCCTCCGAGTGAGGGATCAAACATGATTCCAAATTCCAGCAATCTAACCTAACCTATAGCTAGTTCATATTTACACCTACCTCCTTTGTTATTCAACATATTTGAAATTCGAAACAATATATCTCTTAATTTTTGTACAATATTTGTTTTGTATTTCGCTTAGATTTGATTAGCAAAGACAGAAAGACAGTCAAAGCTGTAATGGGTCTACTAACATTATAAGCTCAATATATATCTGAAGATCAGATGGGATTCACGGACGAAGCCAAGACATGTGTAGGTTTTGTCAATCTGAAGAAGAAGAAGAAACGACAGGATACATTTTGTACAGCCTGGAAAATATGGGGGTCTTTGTACTAGACAATGATAGGCTATTTGCAAAGAACTATATGGAGGGTTCAGTCTCCAAGTTGCTAGAATTTTTGAACAGTATAGGACTGGAGAATGTAGCCTGTAGAATTCACAATTGATCGGAAAAGGTCGCAGTAAATAGGGCCGATAGTCACTTCAAAAATATAATCTTATTTTATTTCGCTTGTGTATAAATTCTCAAAAATAAACATTCCAACTTCACTTGGTTACTTTTGACATTTTTCTTTATTTTTTTCGCAAAAGTTTTAAGCAATATGTACAAGTAGGATTACATGTATATTAAAAATATTTCATTATCCAGTCAAAACAGTATTGAAATTTTACTTTATTATACCCTAAAACTTAATTTTAAATTTTGAACTATTTTGAAGTTACAGATGTCATTCTGTGACATCTATCTATAGGGGATACAAAAGTAATTATTATATAATTTCCGAGATAATAAAGAAAATATACTTTAGATATGATTTGTTCACAATAAGGAGTAGTTAGGTATTCCAAATTTCAGAGTTCGCTATATTGGTAAGTGAATAAATGGCATTATTTCGATATTTATATAAAAATCTAATTTATTTTTTTGATTAGAGAGATGTCAATGTAAAGTTTACCTGAAAAATACACTTCATAACCTTTGTTCATAACCCTTATTTACCACGTCAGTGTGCCATGAAAATAGCTGAATCTCATCCAAACAAATCTGACATTAGTATTATTTCCAGTTTTTTTGTCAAAAACATTTTGTCAAAAATTAAAAGTTGAGATAATGTGGTAAAGCGTTAACATTGAATCCATTGCGGCACCAAATGAACGTGTACCATGACCAAGCAACGAGCCTCGAGTAAAGCGAAGAACGTGGACAGTACGGTGAAGATCAAACGCGATGGTAAAGGTATATCCAGGACCGGCCGCATCACCAACAACCCCTTCCTGAATTTCCTGCGCGAGATGCGCAAGAAAACGATGGGCCTGTCCCCCACTGAGCTCTCATCCAAAGGGGCGGAAATCTGGAGGAACATGACCAAGTCCGAGAAGGAGCCGTACTGCCTGCTGGCCAGGCAGGCCCGCAGGCGCAGGAAGTCGCGCAGGAGGCGCAGGAGACGCGGCAGAGGTCGCAGCCGCACCAGGTCCGTGTCCTCTGATAGTCAGGCGGACAGCTTCGTCGAGGCGAGGCGCGGCAGGAAGAGGTCCAGACGCAGGAGGGGGCGCTCCAGGAGGCGCAGGAGATAAAGACGGAAACGTTGCAGGATTTGTGTGAAAATTTTCGTGTATTTTGTAAATAGAACATTTGAAAAGTAAAGTATTATGTTTCATCCTGATGTTCTCGTTTTTATTATCCTAGTACAGTAAGGTTTAGACAAATATTGGAGATATTTCTTTTATTTCACATCTATTTATCAACAAAAAGACAAATTTAAATATGAAAAAAAAATAATTTTAAAGTTTTAACAATATTTTACAGTCAAAATACAAGTCAAAGCTGTCAAGTGCTCTGCGATAAAGATCCTGAAACATCAGAGACCATATGTCACTGTGAGGCTCTGGATCGCAAGCGATACTTTCTATTTGTGAAAGCAAGGCTAGAACCCGAGCTAGAACTGGAGAAACTATGCTCCCATCCTATCAAGGACCCGTACAAGCTGGTGCAGGGCACAGGGATAGGAGATTGGGTGCAAACACATTAAGCATTATAGTTCACAGTGATTCTGACATAAGACGGCCACTTAATATAAAGAAAAGAAAGGTAAAAATTAGTTTAAATAGTTGTTCTCCTGATTTATTCAATAATAATAACCAAAATTCACAAGTCAGTCTCAACTTCTCTAGAATAGACTGATTAACGAAAGGACTGAAAAGCCACATAGCACATGTTGAACTGTCTAGTTTTGTCACAACTACCTCGCCAAGTAAAGTTCGAATGCTACGAGTATTTCCTACAAACTTAATGCTCAATCCTCAGGATATGTAATTAACATGGAGGCCAGTTATACTATCAAATTTCTTTGTCAAAATTTTTATTTTATCAGAGTTTGACCAGAAGATTTTATAAAATATTTAATATTAACACTGTCAAATTGTTCATAAAATATCTTTTATAAGAGATCTTTAACAAAGAAATTTGGTAGTGTAATACTGGCCTAATAGTGGCCTAAGAACATACTCTTTTATAAATATTTTTATTTCTTCGGTATTATCGGTATTATTTCAAATTCTACTCGCTAGGCAACTTTGACTAAATCTGAGAAAATGTCGCTCTCAACAAGGGTGTGAGAAATTTCGTATTTTTTGGTGTATATTTTTTGGTAAAATATAAAGCCGCTTTGGGATTTAAGGACTAGACGAGCGGTTGTGTAAAACTAACTACAGCAATAATTTCTGCGTTTTATTTCGTGTTTAGTTATATATTTTAGAGAAAAATTCTTTCTAGATCCTGACGTAAATTATATTTAAGATTTAATCGCGTAACATGATTTAAAATGAAGTGACAAATATTACGTTTTTCTGTAAAAAATATAAAAGCCTTTTATACCAGTCTGTAAGATCGTACAAACAAAAAAAAATAGAACACATGCCAAACTAATCTATGAAGATCTAGAAATTCGAACTAACAATAGAACAAAAGACCAATGAGCATGGTTGAAAACTGGGCCAACCTATAGAAGTTAAAATATTTTCCTGAAACACATCCTCATACATATTTTAGGTTTTCACTTAAACAAAATCTCTGGTTTTTATTTTAGAAGTTACATATGCTCCCAGTACTATTACCGAACCCTGTACAGGGTGCTACAAATTGGAGGTACGAGCATTGGTAGGTATCTCGATAACCGTAATAGATACGAACATGGTTAAATTGGGACAAAGTTGCGTTTTGGGATGTTCACCAAGTTGCTATCAATTTTTTTTTAAAAATTTCAACGATTGCTGAGTTTTTTTGAAAAAAAATGAACTTTTTTGAAAATCAATTTTATTTTTTCCTGGCGTTACTTTTTAGGAAATCAAAAAACTAATTGCACATTCTCATTGCCACTTTATTAGCGCCATCCGATAGTATTTTTAAATTTTCAAATTAGCCGATAGTTTGTGAGATACAGACGCCAACTTAATTTTTTTAAATACGGACCTGCATTTTTTATTTCAGATTTTGAAAGAACTCGGTCTCCTGAGTACAATGATATGCCACACTTTATATTTTTTTTTGTTTCGGATATTTGAACATAATTTATATACAACTAATTTCAAGTCCAGCTCTGTTTTTTTAAATATTTAATCTATTCATCGTTACAATAATGATTCGTTTTCAAACTTAACAATGACGTAAAGGGGTACTTTACGACAAGTCGTGTTTATATACTCTGCACTATGCTCGACATATTGTGGAAACGACCCAAGCTCACCTGATGATGGGGTAGGGCCCCGAAACCGGTAGTGAGAGCAGGTTGATCCACATTATGTCGAACACCGCGTAGAATTAATTTCTATATTAGAAGTTCAAGGCAAGAAACTCTTATATAATTTTATTATATACCTAAAAACTGCAAGAAATTTATTTTCCATTATTAATATGATGTATATTATTAGATCGTACACTGAGATTTTAAATTCACAATAAAAACAAATAAAAATAATATCTTTAAATTGCTGACCTGGATATTTATTTGAATCAAAGATTTGAATCTTTCAATTGGCTCCATTTTCATTGTTCAATGTTAATTAGCGCTGCTCAATATTGTTGGGATGAATATAATCAGATTAAATAATTTGAAAAACCAGAGTCGGACTTGAAATTATTTTAAATAATAATTAAATAGTTACCTATACGTACCCAAAACAAAAAAAAGTACAAAGTGTGGCATATCATTGTAATAGGGAGACCGAGTTCTTTAAAAGCCTGAAATAAAAAATGCAGGTCCGTATTTAAAAAAATTAAGTTGGCCCCTGTACCTCACAAATTATCAGCTAATTTGAAAATCTAAAAATACTATCAGTTTGCCCTAATAAAGTGGCTATGAAAATATGCAATTAGTTTTTTGATTTTCTAAAAAGTAACGATAGGAAAAAATAAAATTGATTTTCAAAAAAAAACAATTTTTCCAAAAAACTCAGCAATTCTTGAAATTTTTAAAACTTTTTTGATGGCATCTTGGTGAACATCCCAAAGCGCAACTTTGTCCCAGTTTAACCATCTTCGTATCTATTACGGTTTCCGAGATAGCAATGCCCGTACCCCGAAATTGTAGCACCCTGTATATCTCTGGGATTATCTTATAATACTAACTGCTTGAAACTCTTCTTTTTTCATCTTCCAACGTCACACGGCTTTTAATTTAAAAACTCCTTGGTAACAAGGAACGGGGCAAGTTTGCCAAGCCGAGAAATTTTATAACACCATTCCAACAGACTCGCTTACCTTAAAATCTATGTATTTATGTATTAAAAAAGTTTTAATAAAACCGTACTCGAGCGGCACTGAAGGCACAACAGCCAAGAGAATGCTTTATAACGTTTATTGTGTTCGAGTTTGTTTTTCGAAGAAGGCGTCTCCAAAAAGTTAGCGCCAACGCTCGGCAGGCTGCGTGTAGGAAACTTTGTAGAATAATTTGCACATTGAAATTTAGAGAAAAATCTTTTTTTCTTTTACCTATATAGGTCTCTTGTGTGTTCTTTTTTTTACTTAAAAAATGTTTAAGAGGTCTGAATGCTGTTAATAGAAAGATTTTGTATTTTGAGTATAAACGCGTTGAATTTATTTAAAAAAAAATTGTGTGTGCACTATGTGTGCATATTTGAAGTGAAACTTCTTACTAACAGCTATTAAACTGAAGGATTTGAAGGATATATATTTTTTTATGAATGCTTTTTATGAAGTTCTTTACTGTCACAAAAATTAAATTATATAAAAAATACATTTAGCCGCTCCGTACGAATATCAATATTCTTAGGAAATCTAATAAAAAAGGGGTTTTGCCATATTTCGAAGTATTATGGTCACTTTCAACAGTAAACTAATCTTCGTTGATTAGATTAGATTCTTAGAGGTGGCTTTCGGCCTGATCCACTGCGATCTTCTCAGATCTATTGTGGTCATCTTCTGATCCTTAGATTACATTCTCCAGTCCTATCCTTTTCACAAAGTTTAGCAACTTGGAGACTGAACCCTCCATGTAGCTCCTTGGCAATGGCATATCATTGCCTATTACCGAAGACCACACATTTGCCAGGCTGTCACACCGACATAAAATGTGTTCTGACGTTTCTTCTTCAGATTGGCAGAACCTACACATAGCTTCGTCTGTCAATCCCATCAGCTTTAGATGCCTATTTAGCTTACAATGCCCTGTTAGTAGACCTACTACAGCTTTGACGGTCTTTCTGTCCTTGCTTATCAAGTCTACCGTGAATTTTGGCGAATGTTCTACAATGAACCTTTTCGCCTGTCTCTGCCCTGATGAGTTTCTCCACCATTTTAGAGATTTGTTGGCCACCCATCATTTCGTGGCCATTCTCGTAACCGCCTTTGCAACGCCGCAGAAGGGTTCTGGGCCTATGAATGGTATTGATGAGCCTTGCTTGGCTCTTTCATCTGCCTTTTCGTTGCCCTTGTGACCCTTGTGCCCTGGCACCCAGGCCAACGTAACAGTGCTACGTTCGCCCAAAGTATTCAGAGCACGCACACAGTCCCACACTAGTCTAGAATTGACCTCCGCGGAGCTGAGTGCCTTTATTATTTCTTCTACACAATAGTGGATTGCCGTTATTTCTGCATGGAAAATTGTGACATCCTTGGATAGGCTTACGTGGAAGGATCTCCCTTGTTTCGGCCCTACTATCCCAGCTCCTACGCCTTCTGACGTTTTTGAGCCGTCTGTATACCAGGTTGCCTCAGCTTGAATAGGTACACCTTTACTCCAGTCTTCCCTTCCTGGTATGGTTATATTAAATTTGTTGTTGAAGCTATACCTATCTTCGTTGATGAATTTCGATTATCGACATCTCAAAACTTTGTAGATTTGTCGAAGTTAAATTCACCTAGTTATTTCTTAATGGAGCATAATATATTTAATTTCTAATTCATACACAAATACGTTTAAAATAAAGTATACGGAGGGTACCGCTTAAATTCCTGTACCGATGTTGAAGGATGGCTATAGAATTTCAATGCATTTCCTACATAAGTCTATCCTTGTGTTGTAGGAGGTTTAAGGATGAACCTATGTCTTGAAACCATTCGACTCGATTTTCTGTCCTGCTTCAATACTGGGACGTAAATCCTCTCATTGCTCTTATGGAGAGGCCGTCGTATATTTTATTTAAACGT